GGTTCGATCCTGCTGATCGTCATAGCCTGCTCGGGAAATCCCACTGACTTCTCCTTCCCTTTGCATGCTATTTGCACTACTCTTACATAGCAGTTCGTGAGATTCATGCTGAGACCCCTTAACTTCCCCACACCCTATCGGAATGGGAAATTTCATCTTCAGATGATAGATGGAGGTGACAGCTTTGAAGTTCCAAAGTAGTGTATGTCCCAATTTTCCATTAAAAGCAGACAAACAGTCTATCACTAGAAATTCTATCATCTTAGTCACTTTGTGGGTCTCACCCAAAGTGACAGGAAGTGTAATTGTTCCTTTGGGAATCAGACGATCTCTATTAAAGCCACAGAAGGGGATAGAAACAGGCTTCAGATCTGCCTTTTCTAATTGCATTTCCTCGAATGCTCGCTGAAACAGGATGTTCACGATGCTCCCATTGTCCACCAACATTCTATGGACTTTGCACTGTCCTATTTCAGCCATGATAACGAGTGCATCCTCATGAGAGTGATGCAATCGTACCGTGTCTTTCTCTGAGAAGGTAATCTCTTCCTCTCTACGCACCTTAGCAGATCGCGACGATGTGGTTAATACACTCACGAGATCATGACGAGCTTCTTGAGCGTACTTCTTCTAAGCACCTTAAGAATTCCCCGCGAGGTGTGGTCCTCCAAATATAATCCCAATGAAATGGAGACCCTTGCAACCATGATGCTTCTTCCCATCATCCTCTTGATCCTTCTCCTGAGTAGGAGTTGGACCATCAACATACTCTTTGAAGTGCCTCTTTTTAATGAGGTCTTCAATAGCATGTTTATGAGCTCGACATTTATCGGTATGGTGCCAATTATCCCAATGATAACGACAATACTTCTTGCTGTTCCTTATTGAAAGGGGATTTTTCATAGGCTTTGGCTCTTCGAGCAGATTAGCTTCTTCTGATTTACCTAGAATATCTAATACCAATACATTCAATAGAGTGAACAGATTCTTATCGCGATCACGACGAGGGACCCAGGCATAAGATTTCTTGGGCTCAAACCACTGTTTCTTTCCCTTTCTCTGATCGTCATTAGCCCATTTGTGATCAGGTCTTCTACTACTCTCTCCTTGGTTTTCCTCCCTCTGACTAGGAGCGCTAGTCGAAGGACCGAGGTCGTGGCGATTCAAAACAGCCACTGAATTTTCAATTATGAGATATTTCTCAGTGAGGTTGTAGAAGCGAGTGAAGGAAATATCGTCTTCAGATTGCAGTTTCTTCCATAGGTTAGTTTGCGGGCGAACTCCTGCAATAATAAGAGTTCGAACTGAATCTTCGGGTGTATTAACCATCTTATTCAGCTCCCTCTGAAACCTGTCAATATAGGACTGGAGGGATTAATTCCTCTCATGCCGTATGTTGCTAAGATAGGTCAACGACATTGAGAACTTCCTATTAGCTTGGAAGTGTCTCAAAAATAACGAACTCATCTACTACCATGAGTTGATTGATCTTGGTGGAAGCGATCTAAACTAGCACTTAGGAGGGGCAGTCAGAGTCACTGCTAAGTAGTGACATTTTGCCAAGTTGGAAACTTGGTAAAACTCCATGAGATCGTTAAACTCACAGAGATGATGCTTTGGATAAGAATTCCCATCGAATGATCGCATATCAGGCATTCTAAATCTTAACAAGAGATGAGCAGTCAAAACTACTGGAGAAAAAAAAAACGCCTCAGTGACCTACCCTCACTCATTCTGCTAAGCTCTAAGCTGATCCAGAGCCCGCTGTAACTCCTTAATCTAAGGAAGCAGAGCCATCTGGGGATCACTTTCTATAATATGGGTTTGCTCCCACAATTGCGATTAAGGAAAGACCGCAGAGCAGACTCTTCCACGCCTCATTTAGAGCCTTCGGAATACCCTGGTACATGTTCGCTGGAGTCATGTGAAGGCATTGAATGGCTTGGGGAGTTATCTCGACCTCCGCGGTGGTTAGAACCAACCCGCAGATGGTAGGTATTTCCCTCGCAGTGATGGTCAGAACCATCATTCCGGAGATAATGAGAATCTCCATGCCGCTCACTCTTGTAGGGGTGCCCATGCGATGTGGCGTGAGATGGCTCATGATGTGACTTACCACCAAGTCAAAAAGCTATAAGTATTTAACCTATTGCACGATCGGTATTCACTAGGCCCTTCGAGCCTTTTAGCCCATTGTCAGCCACCTGCTTTCCATTATTTTTACGGGCTGTAGTGCGCATGGTATGAGATTTCGCTCATTTCCAAGCTTTAGCGTGACCTACAGGCGTTTTTGGAGGTGGCACCGCCTTTTTAGAATTGGGTGGTACAACCTGATCTAACCTTCGGTTAATCGTTTAAAGAGTATTTTGAACCTCTCTAGGTAATTCAATACAACTAGATCGAGCTGAGAGGTCGAGGAGACATTCGTCGTGGTACATTGGGGAACTGGAGGTACTTTGGGAGAAGTAACATCCTATACACAGGGGATCTCCTCATTGTTGGTGCTAGTTCGCTCGGTTTCAAGACCACGAGCCATTTGTTCGCAAGTAGAACAGATTGATAAGAAATTCTGAATGAAGAGCAGATATAAAATCAGGGCCCTCTTTCTAGCACCAAACTGTTGATGCGTAATTTTGACACCAATGACCTACACGTGCAAAGTGCTAAGCTATTTTTAGAAATTACACATGAATGATTATGGGAGAGCTAATCAGTATAATTGAATACAAAGACTGAATAATAAATGAGAAATGATTTTTAAAGTGGTTTGAATGCTTAAAACGATTCCTACGTCCATTGTTTCTTCTATATATGAGAGTTTACAAGAGGTCACGTATAGTGAACATCAAGCAGAGGTACAATAACTGAGTTTTCAGAGAGAATATCAAGTCAGTCTCTTTCTCGTAGGTTATCTTTGCTCTGAAAATAAAGATTACAATTAGAATCAGAATGAGGGTTCAGGATCCCTAAAATGAGAGGGGGAGTCCTCTATTTATAGTAGTTGAATTAAAGGTAATGATTACAAAACTGTAAGTGGGTAGGTGCCGTGCAAGTCCTTTCTTGCTTCCATTGGCTGATAACTTAGAAAATATCATCAAATTATTTGGGGCTTAGACATGAATGCGGTCCATAGTCACTTTTAGACAAAACCTGAATCTGCTAAGTTGGTGACAACCGTATTCTTTCTATCTTGGGACGACGTGACAGCCCTTGAACGGCACAAAACCTTCCTGAACTCTGATTAATGCTTGCTGACGTAAGCTTACATCAACCCTGGTTTTTTAGGCATAACAAATATTTTGAAAGCAATTCTTCCAAAATTCAAAGTGTTAACATCAGCTATTGTATTAAGACATCACTAATTCAAAATTTGCAATATTGAAATTAAAACTCATAGGGTCTGTTTGGCTTATTATTTATTTCCATATTCTCAAACCAATTTTTCCAATAGTGTTTGGCTTATTATTCAAACAATAGCACTTTGAAAATTCGATCCTAACAGGTTTTTGACCGTTAGACAGTTTGCAGCTTTTATTTCTCTCTCATTTGTATTTCATTTTCTCAATTTTCTTCACTGCATTTGTATTTCATTTTCTCAGTTTTCTTTACACCGTGAACCACCCCCACACCACCAGATATGTCCCACGTCGCACATTCATTGTTAACCACCCACCACCATGAACCACCCCACACCACCAGATCTGTCCCATGACAGTTTTTTTTGTGAAACCCACCCACCACCGTGAACCACCCCACACCACCATATCTGGCCCACGTCGCACATTCACCATCAACCACCCACCACCGTGAACCACCCCATACCATCAGATCTGTCCTACGTCACACATTCACTGTCAAACAACCCACACGTGAACCACCCATGTACCAGATCTGTCCAGCGTCACAAATTTTGCAAAACCCACCCACCACCATTTACCACCCACATCATAGATCTGTCTAGAGGGAAAGGTGATTGTGTTTATCGTAGATCTGTCCAAAATATTAAGGGAAGGGAAAGGTGATTGTGTTTGATTTTTTTTTTTTTTTTTTGTTTTGCAGGTTATATAGTGTACAAAACATTAGGGAAGGGAAAGGTGATTGTGTTGGAATTTTTTTTTTGGTTTGAAGGTTATATCGCATTCAGGGAAGGGAAAGGTGATTGTGTTTGATTTTTTGTTTTGTTTTGTAGGTTATATTGTGTACAAAACATCTGCGCATAATTTTTGATTTTATTGTATATCTGTCCAAAATATTCAGGAAAGGAAAGAGACCCTCGAAGTACCCAAATCCAGTTTGTGAGCTCCGTGACCTATTTGGTTTCAAGACACCCGAGACGCAATTTTCCTCATTTTTATTTTATTGGAAATAATTTGTGTTAGTATTGTTTTTTCTTTCATTAATCCTTTTAATTTCGATTGTAATTATGCGTTTTATAATTAGTTGACTCAAACTGATATCTGCACTTGAGCACAATTGGATTGTGGATTTGTTTGTGGGGTTTAACGGTTACAACATGTGCTATATTGCTTACAATGTTTAACAGATGCGTCAAAATATTGTACAGTTTCATATGTTGTTTATGTAACATGCTGTATGTAATGGATAAATTTTGGGAGTAAAAAATTATTGGATTATTGGAAATAATTTGTTGGGATTTCACTAACTGATATATTTGTTATGTAGATTACGATCATATGCACAAATGTCAGTATAATTTGTCCTGACGTCATAGGATTGATTACAACTTGCAGCAGAGGCATAAGTTTCAATGTTTATCCAGACTTGGAGTTCGTCATACACCCTGTTGGTCGACATTGTCTGTATCTTCCCCAGCATCTTCCCTTTCATTGACGTCTTCAAGCAGTGTCGGATCGAACGAGGTATATGTTTATCTGTGTTTACTTGATTACGTTTACATGTGCGTATGTCTGTTTGTAATGTGATTGATGATTCGTATGGTGTCCCAATGCTGGTTTTCGTTTTCACCGTATTGTCGTTAGATGGGTGATAACATGAACTGGTTTGTTGAGATGACCCACAAATTTTTGGTCCTGTTGTCTGAGCAGGCGAAAACTGCGCACGGTACTTTAATTAAAACAGCAAATTACCAGGAAATGTTGGACGACATATCATCATTGGCTGGGAGGAGACTCAACGTCACACAACTAACCTCTAAGTACTTTTGCCTGCAAAGAGTATATCAAGCATGGCGGAAATTGCTACAACACATGGGGTTCAGGTGGGATCACGGGTCGCAAAGTCCAACGTGTCCCGTAGAGGTTTGGGAAGAATATGTGAAGGTAAATTTTTAACTTTTTAAACTAATATTAATCAACGACATCGTAATTGTACGCATTTTTTTTTGGAGTGCCAAATATTAATTATTATTCTTTTGCATTACCAGCAAAACCCACTGGCGCAACAATTCTACCATAAAGGACTTCCTCACAAGAACCTTTATGAAATCATATTTGAGAAGCAAACTGCCATTGGGAGATATGTGTACAACTCTACATCTCAACTGGTGGAGACCTCCAGTTATTCCAATCAGGGCGCGGTTCTCATGGATGATAGTGACTTTGAACCTAATCCAAATCGGACGACAGGGGAAAAATAGCCAAACATATCTGGCCATGGAAGAGCAAGAAATAGAGCAGGCGAAGCCACCCGGGACAATCACTTGCGGATGTCATTGGTAGATTGACGGACGAGCTTGTGGAGAAGCGGACTATGAGATCGAGGGCTACCAATCGCAATGCAGATGAGGGGGACGAAGAGAACACCAGTGGTCTATTTGATCCATTTTCCATGAGCAATTGTATTGACATCATGATGGCCATGCAAGTACCCACACAGTTTTACCTACCGGTTGTCAAGTACTTTTATCAAAATCCAGGGTGGCGGGAGATATTCGTGAAACTCCCGCCCGAGGAAAAGGCAAACTGGATTTATAACGACTTTTCGAATTTGTAGATGAAACTATATTTCCTAAGTGTTTGCTAGCCTTTTTGTATGCATCAGTGGGCACTTGTCCTTACAATTAGAATTTTTAACACTACTGTATGAACTTAATTGTGCTACTGTTTGATGTGATATTACATGTTTCAACCTCGTTTTGGATTGTTATTAGAATTAAATATTGATTGTTATATTTTGTTAATTGCGGATCAATGTTTTGCAAATGTGCAGGTTTAAATGGCGTCGTCTAGCCGTATAGGAAGAAGACGACGTTCTACAGATGATGAAGAAGAAATACTGACAGATATAGCCATTGCACTCTGCGGTGTTGCTGCGTTAGAAACAATTGGGCGTGAACCACGACATACATCCATATTTACTGGTCATGAGTACATGTTGGAAGTACTCAATGGTCATGCTGACAGAATCTTTGACAAGTGCTGCATGGACAAAGACTGTTTTACATACTTATGTGAAATTTTGTTAGAGCAAGGCAAATTGCGACCAAGCAGGAGGACGAGTGTGGAAGAACAAGTTATGATATTTCTAACAATCATTGGTCAAAACGAGACAATCAGAATGATGATGGAGGATTTCCAACATTCCGGTGAGACGATCTCTAGATATGTTGGCGCAGTTTGCAAGGCGATATATGCGTTGAAGACAGAGTTTATCAGACCACCTGACTTTAGTGAGGTTCCATGGGATATATCAGCCAACCGAAAATATTACCCTTTCTTTAAGGTACTGGTTCATTATGTTTTCAATTAGTGGATAGTTAAGTTCATTGTGTTATTAATGTTCATAGCCGGTTAATATCAGTAAAATTCAATTTTGATGATAGGATTGTATTGGAGCCATTGATGGCACACATGTATACGCTTTGGTTCCTCATGAATTATTAACCAGTAAAATTCAATTTTGATGATAGGACTGTATTGGAGCCATTGATGGCACACATGTATACACTTCGGTTCCACATGAATTTGCCGATAGGTACCAGAATTGCAAAGGAACGTTGTCACAGAATGTAATGGCTGCATGCGACTTTAGGATGATGTTCACTTATGTCGTTACTGGATGGGAAGGATCAGCGCATGATTCAAGAGTTTTAAATTCAATTATTGATGATCCTAATTTTGGATTCCCACATCCTCCACCAGGTATAAGTATTTTCTTGACGTATTATAGCGTATTTGCTCAACTGTCGAGGCCCTATAATTCAAATAACATGTATGATTTTATTACAAGGAAATACTATTTGGTTGATGCGGGTTATCCAAATAGAGAGGGGTGTCTCGCCCCTCGTAGGTGAGTGGCTTACCATATTTCTGATCACTGCCGTAATCGAAGGGGGCCACAAGAGTTGTTTAACTACAGACATGCTTCACTGCGCAATGTTGTCGAGGGAACCTTTGGTGTTTTGAAAAGACGGTTCCGTATTTTGAATGGAATGAACAATTACCCATTAGACAAACAATGGAAAATTGTTGTGGCATGTTGTGTACTTCATAATTATATCAAAATGTACAATATGGAGGACCCTATCTTCAAAACAGTATACTAAAAATACGGGTAATGAACAAGTATATTCTGATCGCCAAAACGGGGCAGAAGATGGCCGAAATGGAGAAGGACCGAGTCAACCGCATCAAGGAATTATAGACAACATGATGACTTATGGGATAACATAACGAATGCACTGTGGGCAGCACAGTGGACCATGTCGTAGTTGTTAATGGAGTATACGTGTAAGAACGATTGTAAGGGTTGATAATTAGTACTTTTGTCATATATGTATTAATGTGATGTTTTTAAACAGTTGGATTAGTACTTGAAATTAATATGGATTTTTGTTTTTTAATATTTACTGGTGAAAAAATTACCAATAAAATGTTTAATATTATTAAAATGTAAATTGATAAGTTATATATATAATAATGCATTATTTTAACAAAATGCACCAAAATATTATATTAATAAATCATTTATAAAAAAATATATCAATTAAATATTCAATACAAATATCAAGGTAAAAATACTCTACCAAACACATATTTTTCAAATCATATTCTCGTAATCATAACCCTATTCAAGTATCCAATATTATTCCCAAATCTTATCCAAAATAATAAACCAAACGCACCCATAACTACTTGAACTGTATTATTTATAATATATTAATACAAAGTTTACAAAATTATTAAAATATCATGTGTGATATCATTATTAATCAACATTTGAAGCTTGAAAAACACACACACACACACACACACACACACACACACACACACACACACATATATATNATATGTGTAAGAACGATTGTAAATGTTGATAATTAGTACTTTTGTCATATATGTATTAATGTGATGTTTTTAAACAGTTGGATTAGTACTTGAAATTAATATGAGTTTTTGTTTTTTAATATTTACTGGTGAAAAAATTAACAATAAAATGTTTAATATTATTAAAATGTAAATTGATAAGTTATATATATAATAATACATTATTTTAACAAAATGCACCAAAATATTATATTAATAAATCATTTATAAAAAAGTATATCAATTAAATATTCAATACAAATATCAAGGTAAAAATACTCTACCTAACACATATTTTTCAAATCCTAATCTCGTAATCATAACCCTACTCAACTATCCAATATTATTCTCAAAATCTTATCCAAAATAATAAACCAAACGCACCTATAACTACTTAAACTGTATTATTTATAATATATTAATACAAAGTTTACAAAATTATTAAAATATCATGTGTGATATCATTATTAATCAACATTTGAAGCTTGAAGCGCGCGCGCGCGCGCACACACACACACATATATATAAGCATAAATAATCTCGACCATCAATAGAAATCTTGGGTAAACCATTGAAGACAGAAGAATCATACTCATTAAAAAAAAAAAAAAAAAAAAATTCTCAAGATTTCAACATTCACTTTATGCTTACTTCTTACAATTAACATTGTGAGATAAAATGTGTTATTATATATATATATAAAAAAAAAAAATTATACATAAATTGAAGTAACATACATCTTTTATTGTTATGTCATTCTTATTTATTTATTAGTAATAATTTAATTGGTTTTTTTTATGTATATTATTTCAAGCATTTTACGTCATTCACTTTATATGTAAAAATTTATATATAATCTTTTGCATCTAGTATTACTTTATACAAACTCTAGATATTACATTTTTTTATTATCATATAGTTAGTCTTTATCAACTAAATATTTACTGTTTTAATTTTTAATATTTATATTAGGGGTTTTATCTTGACCCTCTAAGGTTTAATAAAATAGCAAGTTTTCTTGAGATTTCGAAAATAACAAAAATCGTTAATCAACTGTTAGTTCACCATTAGAGTTTATAACAAGATAGGTGAATTGACATTTATTTAATTGCCCCTCTACCATTTATTTTAACACCAAAAATTAACGATAATTTCTATTATTTCTCAAACAATAAGGGATTTTATTATTTGATTATATCTGACGGAGATTATTTGTTATCGACTCTTTATATTATTTAATTCTTAGAAGTCTTCAATCCATAATGTCTAATCATCAAAATGGTTAGTCAAAAACTTCATGCATCAATTTCTTTTTATAAAATTAAATATAAATCCAAAAAAAAGTAAATCAATCGACATATATAATTAAACAAATAAGTCAAAAATTTCTCTCAATAAAAAATTAATTAATTAAAATAGATTTAGGTAGATTTCTATATTATATTTAATATATTTGTTTTAAAAAATAAAATGATTACTTTAATTTTGTGCGTTCAGAATTTGAAAATGTGTTTTACCATTATTCCCTAAAATTAGTGTTTGAAAATTGAAACGACTATCATCCCACACGTCCCATAACGTCTCAGCTTAAACCCCTCAGACCCCAAAGGTAAGAAAAATTATTTTGACCTCCCCATACATTTGAAGAATTATCCAATACTTCCTCTTTTAGGTGTTAGTTGATAGGTTATGTCATCTTATATAATTTTATTTACCTCCCTTTGAGATCGATTGCTATTGAACTCATCCATTCATTATTAAGATATTAAAAATACCCATGCTATTAGTGATGTGCTAGAGTTCATCCAATTTAAAATTAAAAGTCTACTTTACCCATCCATGATTTATCAATCTAAAAAAAGAATTTTTAATTCCTCATTGCTTTTATAAATCATTTAAAAAAATATATTTTAATTATTTTTAACAAAAAAACTAGTTTAACCAAAAGACCGTTTATTTTAATTTTGTCTATTCTAAATTAGTTTAAGGTTGATTATAAATTATCTAGTCGTGTTTCTTTTATTTTATAGTATGGATTTTAAAACATTTGATTACTATAAAATTCGTTTTAAATGATTATCGGATACTATTTATTTATCTCTTCTTTTTAAATGACTGGTTTAATAACATATAGACCTTTTAATATTTTAAGAGTTACTATGGGTCCTCCATAATTTTTATTCTTAATAAAACCCACTTCTAAATTAACTCCAATTTTTTTAAATATTATCTAAATGACTAAATAAACTCGATCCATTTACAAATTAACCCTTACCTTTATATTTTTACTACTCATGCATGCTATAATTTCTTAGTACTACTTGTTTTATATATACATTTTTTTTTTTAATCTCTATTTAACATATCAATCAAGCATATAAGCAATTATTCACATTCGCATCACATGTGTTTTCTTTAAAAAAAAAAAAAGAATAATAAACTTATAAAGTTTGTAGGTACAAATCAATTGAAAGTTAGAAGTAATAAAATATGATAAAATAAACTTAAAGAATTTAATGCATGTATGTTATTGATCAAGCTCACTGCATCTTTGATTATTTCAAAATAAAATTTGGGTTTATGACTTAGAAAAAGAAATAGGTTTTTTAAATTAAAATCAAAAGATTTATTTTGATGAATTGTGTACAAATACTTTTGAGTCTTATTTAGTAATTTTCATAAAGGATAAAACTGTAATTAAGAAAAAAATAGTAATTGGGGTCAGCTAAGATAAAAGGTAAGAGACCAATAGCATCACTCTATTTTAATTAAATATAATTATTTCTAAAGTAGATAAATCAATAATTTAACATCTCTCATTCATTTAATCAAGTTTAAATTATTCTATTCATATTAATCTCCTTTTTAATAATTTAGCTACTTTTTCTCTTTAAAAGCACAATTATCATAGGTTCTCTTTTATCTAAATATATCACCTAAATGTGTAACCTTCCTTGGGATAATATAATTGTAAGTACAAGGTTGACTTAATGAATTTGAATATTTATTAAGTGAAGGTTTTAAGAAATTTGTGAAGTTGGAAAGTAATAGGAGGTGGTAAAATAGACTTTTAAATAAAAATTGGATGGAACTAACATAATATTAATGATAATGGTGTTTTTAATATTTTCTTAACAAAAGTGGATGAGTTGAATATTAATTGATCTCTGGTGTTATGAAAATTCGCAACAACTAGTGATACTCAATCGACTTTAGCAAGACCAAGTCAGATGATTATATGATTGTGATCAACCAACAAAGGGGAACAAATAGGTCGAAAATGAGAGATAAACAAGCTAAAAACAAGAAGAAACGACATTATATTTTTAAAGTGGTTCGGTGGGTTAAAACCAAGTCTACGTTCACTGTCATGTTATTGTTTTTGGTGTTTTTCCCTTCGATTACAAATTACAAAGAGTTGCTCTCTTCTCTTAATGAGATATGTGTGTAGAAGAAAGAAGACCTCTCTTGCCATGGGGGCTTACATGAATGGAAAAGAGAGAGAAGGTCCCCCCCACATTTTGGTAAAAAATCATTTTATATAGTAAACTTGTAAGTGAAGTCTAACTTGTTGCCAACCTTTAACTTGTGGATAATGTTTAACTTGAAAACATCACTTAACTTGTAAATGAGATTAGTTCAAGATAGGCTGGCACATGATGTAGATCTAACCGTTGAACAAAAGCAAATTCCTAGGACACATGGCATGAATCCATGCTTATTGGATTTCCCCTACAAAAATCTCAATGGAGGTAAATGAAATATACGAGATGACATAGCAAGTATCAACTAACGGCTAAAGGGGAGGTGTTGGATAATTCTTTAAATGTGAGGGGAGGTATTGGATAATTCTTTAAATGTGAGGGGAGGTCCAGGCTAATTTTCATAGCTTTGGGGTCTGAGTGATATAAACTGAAACTTCAGGGGAGGACAACAGGCCTATCTGAAAATTAAAATTAGTGAACACGCGTTTCCTATCATTTTTTCCGGGGTAAGTATTAATATTATGACAAAATAGAGACAGAAATGTAGAATACTTTTTTATTTTTTATATGTTTTGTGCCTTTTCATTTTTTCAACTATTGTTAATATTTTTTGTTTTATTTGTTTTTTATTTTAAATAAGGGAAATAATAAATGAGCAAGTATTACATAATTTTTTTTTTAAATAATATAAAAAAACGATAATTAACCATCCTAAGTTTTGATAGTCTTGTACACGTTAATGGACCATTCAGGTATCTAAATTATAGAGTGGAGGCCCAGAGATTGTAGTTCAACAAATGAGGACAGCATTCAAATTTCAAGGGACTAAATGAAGATGAACAGCCCAGATCGTCACATAGACCGCTCACAGTCGCACCGCGAAGAAGAGGCAGCACAATGGAGGAAACACTAGCGGAGCTGGAGCGAGTCCAAACTCAAATACTGGAACGAATATCAAAATTGGAGCACACTTACCTTCCACAAAACGACGCCGTCTCTGCACCGCATCCTGAGCCAATTTCAATCTGCGACACCGAAGCTCGCCTCTCGAACATTCTTCAATCGAATGGCGTGAACGAGTTTTTATTCAAGAAAGTCCCGGCTGATTACTACGACTGCCCTCTCGAATCACGAAGAGACATCCTTGGTGCGGCTTCCATTGATCATCTTTGCAAAAGCATCGTCTTGGTACACTTATCTTCTAATTTCCTTAGTAATTATCTTAACATTGAATTTAAACGTTCAATACTCTAGGCTAAGTCCTTTATGTTTTTGTTAGGTTAATACACAAGCGCAGTCCAATGTCGTTGATTGTAGTGACCGCAACAATTCGAAGTATTATGTAGTGGTTGTTCAGGTACCTTGGTTGTCTTCAGTTATTAACGATTTACATTTGATTATGCTGCTGAACCATCTTACATTTTGCAGTATACTGCTCGATTTAATGCTGAAACTGTCAAGAATTTTTTGTACACGCTCAACCATGCCAAGATACCAAAAAAGAAATTTAACTGTAAGCTGTTATTCACTGGATCACCAAACAATTTCTTATGATTTACTCATTCCTATTCTTGTTTGAAAATTGCAGTTACATGTATCTAAGGTTCTATTAATTATTCAAAGTTTTAGAATCCAGTCTAAATTAGTGATTCCCAACTAAATTATATTAGTTCTGGTGTGTCTAGTTGCACCTTAAGAATAAAAAAAGATTAATACAAAAGTTGACAGGTGATAGTAAAACTGGTACACGAGAAAACATTGTACAGCATAGTAGCATACTATTGTTTGTTTGAGGAGCTGTTGTATTTAGATCTGTTAATACTGTAATGTACTAAGTGATAAGTTTTCTCAGCTGTAGAAAAAAATATAATGATTGTAAAAGTGTCAGGCTTTAGTAATAAGTCTAAGACAATTGGTAGAAGTTTTTGATCAAAAATCTTTTTCACCTTTCAGGTTTAGTTGATTCTTGATGCAGCGTAGGATAGATGTCAATGCTGTTAATTCAATGAATACCCAAAGTTAAAGAAAATTTAACAAGATTTTTGTTTATTCAAACAATACTGAAAATAAAAAAAATTAACACTTGTTGATTCTAAAGAATATGGAGAATATAAAAAGTAACTCAATCTTGAGCTTAAATCAAAAGACTATGTTGTTAAATCAAAAGGCTATGTCCTCAAGGTTACAAATGACCTCTATAATTATCCTAGTATTGTTGGGAAAGCAAATAAACCTATTGATGGTAGCAAAACTTCACCTATAAAGAGAAATCTTACATAATTAGGACTATTAAAAAGAAAAAAATAGAAATAGGAAAGTCTAGAAATAAGAGAGTATAAGAAAATAATGGAACTCCCTCCTTTAAGAATTCTGAAGCTATATGGTTTGCATCAATTCTTATTTATTTTTGTATGCTCAGTAGGTGAATATATTATAGAAGTTTTTATTTTTTTATTTATTTTTTTATCTTATGTAAAGCACATAATTGTGAAATTTGATAGGGCATCCTTGCAATTTATTCTATTTTTCTATGATAGGAAAATGATTTGAAATAATGGTTTAAGCTCTTCTATTTTTCTGACTAGGTAGAAATGCTCCCTCTTATGGTGCAGAGCTTGGCATCATTTAATGATAGGGATGAAAACATACATGCACGTGCATAGCATTCTGACATGTGCCATGTACACATGTCCTTGATATTTTGAGCACCCATTAATTCCTATAATTCTAATTTGTCATGATTATATGTCCATTACTTAAATCTTTATGTCGAAGGCGCTAGAATAATAATCCCAAAAGAAGTAGTTGAATTAAAACCTTCTATGCTCCTTTCCCTTGTCTTGTAGTTTGAATTTCAGATTCCAATCAATACCGCTTAGCTTAATTGGACTGCACATACAACTTGGATAAGTAATCCCAGATTTCCTTGGGGGTAGAAAACTTAGCCTAGTGAACACCGATAGATTGATCCAAAGATTATTAACAAGTAATAATTTTGATATGATTCATCTTCAAAGTAACTAGCAAAGATTCATAATTACTTGCCTTAAGATTAGTAGGAGCCTTTGTTATACTAAATATGTAGCTTCACATATCCTTCCATGAGTAGGTGTAATTATCATTGGTAAAATTTACTGTAATAGCCTGTAGATAATGAGTTTCCCCTTGTTATGGTTGAAAGAAATCTCAAAGGAGAAACTTCAAATCAATTGTAATAAAAAAGAATAAAGGGAGACATCAATTCTAAAAGAAGATATATCAAATTCAAAAGAGAACCTGTTCTGATACAATACAAATTTAGTTAACTAAAGAAGAGGAAAAGAAAGAGAAGCAACCAAGAAGAATGGAAAACAATCAATCTATGCAAAGGTGAATTTCCTTATGACTAAAACCTTTAGGTCTTTACAGTATATATTGTCTCAATTGTTTATAAAGGGAAATACTAAAGTAAACTGTATTTCTAATAAAAAATGGGATTGGAATTATTCTTCTAAAACTTGTTTTACACTTCTACATCCACCCTTGACAGCAGGTTTTTTTTTCCTTGTATTTTTCTGATTCTAGGTAAATAATAATTGATATGTCTGAACCTTGAAAGATACAAAAACCTGTAGTGTTTTATTGAGTAATCTGATTCATATATCATGATATTAATTCTGTTGATTTATGTTCAGATTGATAATTGAGTTTTATCAATTATAGGGATGTGATAGTGTATATGTTCATGTTGGGACATGTTCAGTGAAAAGTAGTAGTTCATAAATGTTAACTAATTGTTAACTTGCTTTTGTAAAAAATGATGATAACGGTTGATATTATTTATTATGCAGTGAGGCTTGCTCCTGAGGAGACCTCGGTGAATTTGACTGGATATGAGCACAATGCGGTAACATGTATTGGCATGAGAACAGATATTCCGGTACTTACTCTTTCTATGCAATTTTTTTGTGTGTTTTGCTGTCTTGTAAGGGTTAAATTTTTAAAACTAGATGCCGTTCTTAAAATTTAGTGTTTGTCTAGCACATCATTCTAATTAGAATAATTTTTGCTTTTATATTATTTAGTGGATATCGTTATTGATCATCATTCTCAAGCACTGTTTTATGTTTGCTATAGTGATGCATCCATGACTACTAAAGCAAAGTTAAGAGTAAATGCTGCTAATTTTAATAAAATTGACCAAAAATGGAATCAGGATAATTTTTTTTTTTTAAATAACGGTTTGATTTGATCTTGTAAACTTCTAAGCGTTTTAATAGGCATCTTATTTTAAGCTTATCTGAGGCTTTTTCACTACAGCTGCACTGGACATTCAGAGAAAATACAGCTTTAGTGTCTTGTGTCTAGCTGCTTGAGGCAGCATGAACACAGAGGCCCCTAGGACTTAATTGCCTGGGCTTATATCTCTCATCTTCCCAATTTGGTTATGGGTGGTGTGGCTGCTTCATAAACACAACTTCTTATAGGTATTGTGAAAGGAGAACCCCCTTATTTTATATGTGTGTCAATCCATTGAGCTCAGGCTTGTGAATTGAATCCTTCCAACCCTTATGACAGCTGTGAGTTGGTCCACTTGTCCAGATATCATGTCTGCCAAAATTATAGCCCTGAAGGTGAATGTTAGGATTCCTCATACAAGTGTGGAGTAATCTATTTTATTGTTGTTGAAGATCAATGATGAAAGTCTGTCAGAGTGAAAAAATTGGATTGACACAAAGGTTGAAACATTTTAACACCCAAAAACAGCGAGCATTGATTCAAGCTAGCTAATTTTGTGTATGTGTGTTGTCATGAAAGCTGAAAGCTTATTTGTCTGTAGAAATCTCTTTCAAGTGCAAAACTATTGATTGAGAGTACTTACTAAGTTGTTCATGTTGGACAAAATGAGAAAATTATATTCCTGTTAAGACTGAGGTTTTATCGTTTTTGTGTTTATTGAGTAATTTTGTATAAAAGACTTTTTGTGTTGGACCAAGCTATGCTTCTGTATAGGGAGAGTATTGTAGTTAGCATTTTACTGTTAACTTGAAATTTATTTCAGGTGGTCTTGGATGAAGCAATTGTAAAACTTAATCTTGATTTCTTCTGGTTGGGTGGCGGAGAGGTTGATCTGAAGTTGGGAATTAAGACCTCCGAATTTATCAACTTTGTCAGACCTTTCATTGTTAGTTGCAGTTGAACAAAATCAAACAAGTGCACCTACTGCAGAAGATAGAAAAGCTTGAAATGTTAGAAGAGAAGAAAAAATCATTTTGCATATTTCAATTGATGGTGCCTTCTCTCTCTATCTGGCGTAAGAGGTAGGCCTGGGGAGATTGCAATATATTTAAAATTTGTTGCTTATATTTTTTATAGTCGATTGTCGTTGATGGCATAGCTAGAAAAGATAGCTATCACAATTTTATCTATAGTAGAGAAGTTAAAATTCGAGCAAAAGTCTATGGATGACTCTTTTCGGAAGGATTTGTTTCTTGTTGCTTCCTTTCCAACGAAGGCCTTGCAACATATTTTTGACTTCAAATTTTAAGCGAGCAAGTTTTGAGTAATTACTCTTAACAAAAAACGAAACTTCTAACAATCAGTTGAAGTTGTCAGCTTATAGGTTTTCTTAAATGAATTTAATGAAAAATACTGTGTTTAAACGATATGTTTATGAATGTTAATTGATTGCGCTGAGGCCTGATTACGAAGGATTTGATATCAGATTGGGGGGCTCTGTTGAACAATATCAACTGTAAATAGAGAAACTAAAAGTAACAATACCAACCAGAGCATCACATCCTTGTCAATTGTGCCTAAATTTGTAGACAATCTCATTAAATTTGAAACATAAATACAAACCATGTTACGGGCCATTCACCTTATGCTTACAAGCTGTCTTGCAATTATTGGACAACTGATATTATTCACATGGTCGGTTAAAAATATTTGACAATGGACTGATTTTGAGGCTAAACCCACCTGTACTAGTTGATGACAATAACGACTTATCACAATATTCTTCATACGTTGGTAGCAAAAGGCTCACAGTAGAGCTAGTTCAGATTTGTGATTATGATACAAGACAAACACAAAAAGCTCTTGATAACACACAAACAGTCCGAGGAAACATCATCTGCTATGATAAGAAATTCTTACATAGGAAAAAGAAGAATTACAAACAAATATATATATAACACATGATGATCTAGGGTTTTTCATTGTGGATGGGTGGTTTTCGATGCGGTTGAGCATAATCCATTACAACTACATCCTCCACAACCTCGTTTTCCTTGGTATTTACAGCTTCATCGGTATCATGTCCTGAAGATTCTAGCATCCACCGTCCTTGGCGCTTATTCACTCTCTGCAAAACCACAATAAAATCTTACTATTGTTAAACTTCTACTCTCCACTCTTACATCCTCATCAGAATCATGCAGTTAAACACCATTCACAGTTTTTATTTTTATTTTTTATTTATTTATCCTTTACTCTCAATCATGTAATCAATAATATTATAATTTATAAAATCTTACTACTGTTTAACTTTTACTCTCCTCTCTTACATACTCATCAGAATCATGCAGTTAAACACCATTCACAGTTTTTATTTTTTATTTTTATTTATTTATCCTTTACTCTCAATCATGTAATCAATATATATATATATATATATATGCACACAGTTCTCAGTTTTAAACATCATATTGTAGGTGCAAAAGTTAACTCTTACGTACAAACTGTACAAGAGTTGATAGGAGCTCATAAAATTTTATCTTTTTTTTTTTTTATAATAAAAATGAGATGGCTAAAATTTAAAATATTTTCAACTCTTATCAATTTTCACATGCAAAAGTTTTCTCTTGCACACAAATTTATATTCGTGCTTTAAAAAAAATATAGATATCCATAAAAAAAGACAGACAAATATCCTCCATTCCATCTCATGGAGGATATGTTTGAACAAGATAGCCCACAAGTCTTGGTCACCCCTACAGCCATCAACCATTAAACATTAATCTAAAGATTTAAAAATACAAAGGTTGTTCTATTTAACATACCTCCGGTTTAGCCACTAGTTGAGAAGGTTGGATATTATTTCCTGTAGATACAACATGGTTAAACATCATTAATAATAGTAATAATTGTAAAGGCTAAAGGAAGAAGTTGCAAGATGAAGATGAAGATGAAAATTTTCTATTTGTTTATCTTTTGTTGCAATTAATATTCCTATATAATGCATCATATATATGTGTATGTATATGTATGATTAGAGACATCTCGTATCAGAATAAGAGACTTTCTGTGCACGTTGCACCTGGAACAGTTTTGTATAGTTTCATACTTCAAATTTAATAAAGTGGTTGTCCCTTTTACTCTTTTCTCGTTCAAGAAATGTCACAGCTTGATGAGAAAAGCGATGAAACAGATATTACTAGGGTAGGGTCATTATTTTAATAAACTTGAAGAAATGGTGTAACCGATTAGATGATTTTGGTTTATGCTCATGTTAAATACCCAAATTTAAGAAGCTTTGTCGTTTTTCGGGTGAGACGTGAACGTAAACAAGCGATACGATAATATCGTTTGAAGAGAACCTGAAGTTGCACGCTTTGAGGCTTCTTCCTTCAAGAAAGCCTTTGATTCCTCTGTCTTCATAGTGTTTTCACCATCCCAATTCTCATGGGCTTTCTTTTGCTTGTTCTCTACTTCTTGTTCTCCTTGTGGCCATAGTTGAGTAACAGACTTGTATAAATTAGCTTTATTGACATCCTACACCAAACCATGAAAATCAGAACCACTCAAATAATGCTTAGAAAAAAAATAAAAAAATTAGTGATTAAATAACATAAAATATTCAATTTTCTATGCCTAGTTGACGACCTCGGTAAAGAGATGGCCTTGCTTCCCGATCTCTTTAACAATGTTACTTAAACAGCGGGAATTGCATGCATGCACAGAAATACATAAGAGAAGAATAAGGAGGTTGAGAGAAGACATGATAGAAGTTTTAATATTCTGAGAGGTTGAACTCTTAGAATAACAGTGAGATTTGTATGGAGATTGGGAGTTAGGTTTTCAGGTATTTGTAGTGATAGAAGCATAGAAGGGCATTAAATGGAGGTTTTGTATTAGATGAAAAACGTTCTTAAAGAGAACATGCAGGTGTTTGGGTGATGAACCTTGAAAACAAAATTGAAGATATTGAGGGCCTCTTTTGTTCCCTCTACTCTCACTTTTTAATCAATCGGGGGACCCAAAAGTAGAATTAATGATACATTATAAAGCTTCCTTGGGAACATATGCATGAAACCATGGATGTAAATATTCAGAGACAAATAGTTATAATTATTTAGCAGCTATATTTTTCAGTCAAAACATATAATAAACTACTGGGTAAACGTGCATGAATTTGGTATGCTTGTAATATGAAAATTAACTGAACCAGGTCCTACCCATGCGTTAAGACGGAAGAACTCCATTCCTCCGTCCATTTACTTTGATATATACATAATTCAAGTGGGCCTGTGGGGAGAACAGTAGACACATCGATCCCTTTATCAAATCCGTAAAAATAAATCTTCCAAATCTTGTATTTGTAATTACTGGTGGCCCATATGCTGTCTTGGTACTTACAGTTACTGTGATAGTTGTTCGTTCGCAATTTACACGAAAGAAATTGTTTCAAAAACATCATTACTGAGTCCTGAGAAAAACTTATATAAGACAGCCCTTACTACATCACCTAATTGATGTGGTGTAACCATTTAATAATATAACGCCGACAAAATATTTATATGAGACAGCTTTATTATCTCATCTATATGATGTGGTAAGATCGTCTGATAAAATAGTAGTACGCGTTGTTACATATATATATCAATTGTTTTATTTCATCTATCAATCATCAATAATTATGTTATATTGTTTATCAATAACTACCATCTTATGGACGGTTATGAAAACTATATATGTTATTATATCATTGAACAATCTTATTACATCAACCATATAACACATGATAAAATTGTCTTATATAAAGTTTTTCTCTATAATGATGTATAAAGTTAATTTTCATAACTACCTATCATAGCGGTGGTTATTGATGAATGATAAATAATTGTTATTGATTAATATAGATGATTTTTTTTTTGGGTCATATATGTGGCAACACATGCGGTTACTATGTACCAGGTTAGCTGAATAATATAGATTAGATAGGATAGGACAGGTGGGAGTTGCTTTTCTCATGTGTGAAAGATTGATTGATTATATTGAACAAGTTACAAGGCTTATATTTTTGGACGCTCTCCATGATACGAAAGTGTAAAAAAAATTTGAAAGTTAAACTCAAATAACCATTAAAATCTTGTAGAAATTGCATGATGCTTATGGGCCAATTGACGAAGGAGTGGGAACCAGGGAGGAGACAAGGGTGCATGACCAAACCGTCACCTGCACCTCCTGAATGAAACATTTGAAATATGATCTTCCCTACCACCATAGTTGCCACGTGGCATGTTGTCCATGTGCTATTCACAACAATGGTGTCGATCACTGTTTGTTTGGATGGTTTATGCAGGGGAAAGTGTCAATTTATGTTGTACCAACTGTTTGTTTTGATGGTGTTTATGCAAGGCAAGTGTCAATTTATGTTGCAGCACTTGGCGAGAAACATGGTCCTTACCAACTCAATAAGATGTGGACGTTCAATTTCACAACCCCAAATCGCCCTACAATTAAGGGGATACACCCATTCCAAATCGATACACCAAACTTGTTCGTACAACCAATTCATCCATCTAAACTTAAGTTACAAGATGTATTTTATTATTTAGGTTTAATCTTTAACATAGGTGTCCCAAGCCCTATATCCTCCTCATATCTATCGCATGAAAAGAGATAAGAGTGAGGAGAATTTGAATGGTATTTATTTATTTAAAATAAAAATCATAGGTTACATAATATTGAATATTAGACCCTACAAGTTAGATTTGTATCTTTTCACCTATTACTAGATGGATTATATATATAAGAAAGGACTAATGCTATACCAATCAACCTAAATCTTGACGGGATCAATTAATTGGATCCAAAGTTCAGCAATTGAACTGCATACAAAATTAATTCTGGTAATGATTTTAATTTATTTATTCATACTTGAGAACTTCCTGGACGTTCAAACCACAATCCAAGGATATTGTATATGAAAAAACCAACAATTTTCACGAGTCAATTACATTTTAGTTTATCCCTAAATGTACATCGTTGTTAGGTCAATCTCATTTTCTCTAAATTGACTACAAACAATTAAGATTTAAGGTTTGATGAATCTTAATGTGTTTTTGGGATTGTTGTAGCTTAGAAAATAATCAATAGCTTTTAAAATTGATTAAGTTTACAAGGGATTATAAAATAATTCAAAAGTTAGGAGAGTAGCTTTTAAAAATCTGATTATTTCTAAAGCTGATTTTACATTTTAATTTAAAGTGACATATGTAATTTCTCAAATCACAAAAATTAATTTAAATAAAGATTTTATTTATTAAATAAATAAACTATTTATAAATTGAAAATGAATTGAAATAAATAAGGTTATTGCCGCCACGGTGGTGCTCAATGGTGTTGACCAACAGTCAACATCAGTAAACACCCTTGATCGGCGATCACCGCCAATCAACGGTGGTACATTAAAGCAAAAACATGATTCATAGGATCTTGAATCTCTCAATCTACAAGAATCTAGTGAAATCACCGGATTCTGACATTTATTTTGGCCGTAGGAGGTGTCGAATGGTTTGGCCGCCTTTACTGGCCAAAATAAGCATCGAAATCCAGTGATTTCTCCAGATTTCTGTAGATTAGTTTCTAGTCCTGACATGATAGGATATGGCTTCAAAAAATTATTGTTGACCATTGTTAACTGAGGTCAATGGTGGTTTATCGTTGTTGACTGTCGATCGACGTTAACAGGCGGTTGACTATTGTTGGCCAAATCCAATATTTTGAATTTTTGACTTATTAATTAATTAATAATTTATTCAATATAAATTTTTAAATACTTACAAAATACAACAATTGAATTATAGAAATATATCCAGAAATAAAATGTCTTTTTTTAGTCATAATTTATACATACAACAACAATTTCAAAATCTAATTTACCAAACATAGAGTTATGGATTTATAAAATTACAATAATTATAAATATAGTATTTTACCAAACACTTCCAAATTACAAAACTGAATTAAAATTAATTATACTTAAAAGAGCAATACTAGTTTACAAAGACAAAACAAAGAGGGCATACAAAGATAATTCTTACCTTTTATCTTCATGATTTCTCTCTCTTTTTTTATTTTTTTTTTTGTATTTTTCTTATTATTGATGTCATTTTGTAATCCCCTTTATATTGTCTTTGTAAGGATGATATTTTTGCACTTAAAACTACGACAATCTCAAGTTAGTTCTTAATGTATTGCTGGGCCTTTTGTCAAAGTTAAAAAAGTACGTGCACGATCGCGAAGCCTACACATCTAACAGAAAATTGGTCTGAACTACAGTAAGCCCATGAAGATCAAAAGAGGCCCACAACATTCTTAATAAGAACATTTGAAGCAAGAAAACCTGTTTTTGTCACCGCTTGTCCAAAATGAAATTCCTTTTCATCCTAACGCTTAGTACGTGATTTGAGTCCTGAATTAATTATTAAAGGATAAAAAGATAATAAACAGTAATAGAGGTTTTTGAATAAAAAGAGGTTTTTTCTAGTCCACGGAGAGGAGTTGGATGTATTATTGTCCTTGTACACAAAGATTAGTACACAGAGAGGAGAGGACTTGCAGGTTTTCTTGAGGAATTGCTGTTATTAAGTTTTGTAAAGCTGCGCATTACTTTACTTATAGGTGACATGTTTTTTTTTTTTTTTTTGGGTAATTTGTAATTTAAATTTTAGTTTTATTAATAAGATTTACAAGGAGGTTTTTATACAACTGAAATAACACCACCCACAAATATCCATAGCAAGCAATTATCAAATGAAGAGACCAGCTGGAAAAGGTTTTGGGGCTTATATACAATTTATAACTGTACATAATATCACTTGCAAGGTCTTATAAAATATAAAATATGCACGATGAAGAAATATTCAGCAGAATGCGTGAAAGACAATTACGATGAATTAAATGTGGTTGCACTAAGAAACCACGTAATGCCAGAACAATCACAGGCTACGGCTGGATCTGGCACCCAAACGTATTCTCCCCACTGTAAGTCACATAGAGAAATCCATCTTCATCCTTTTTCTCTTCGTATATGGCAGACATAATTGCACCTGTAAAACCAAACATAAGAACCATTGTCAATCAAAAGGCCAAGTACACAAACTGTTGGAAAGTTATTCACAAAAATTTTGCAATCGAACCATCTAGTGTAACATAGCGCGTAAGTTTACCTGTAGGTGGAAGCACATTATCCACAAATATGAATATTGCCTTTTCTGCACTTAGTTTAATCCTTTTACGGATAACATACACAAATTGTCCTACAGTCAAATCAGCTGGAACAAGGTACCTGTAATTTTCACATTTAAAGGGAAGAACCTTGTTAAGTGTTATAGAATCAAGCACGAAGCAGACAACTAACCACGTTCACACAACTGACAGCAAATTCTGCAATGGCCTTTCAAAAATATTTAAGCAAAGAAAAGGAAGCAAATAAATGTGCTCATCAGGTAAGAGGATAAGGTTGACTAGAGTTACAATATGCCTCAGGATTGAATCACATTTGCAAGGGTTCAAATGATGTACAAAATAGCAACCAGGAGACTGCAAAAGTTAATAGGTTGCCCAGTGACAGCGTCATTTAATCAGCTAAATGAAAACAATAAGAACCAGAGATAATGGCAATGGGTAGTGATGATAATGATAACAAATTATCAAGAGGCTGTCATACTTTGTAGGTTGACACATATGACAGAACCATCTGAGCTGGTAAACCAAACAACAAGGACCAGTATGAGAGTGCAACATAAAATTAATCAGTAATCACTGGACTCACTACCGAGCTTTTGTTTATAAAAAACATGCAGCTCAAGTTTCAGCACAAAACATTTGAGAAAAAATCAACCCAATCATCATTTACCGCATCAAAATTTTTTCTCACCTTATCCCAACATGAGTTAAGAACATTGAAGAAACTTAAGACTATTGGATGGGGTTACTTTTATTTAAGGTTCTTATTTCTCATAACCTTGCAATATGTATCATTGTCAATGTGAAGTCCAATAGAATTTGAGTCTGTGTTTATGTTTCTGTGCATCCACACATGCATGCATGCCAGATGAGTGAGTGCATAAATGCACATGAACAACCTCATACATAGAGGATGAAACAGGGAAGTAAATCATGAAACATAAAGCATCATTCCCTTCTTTTGATGCAAGATTAGAAAACTTACCCAATGCCTAAATTTAAAATCAGATGAATTTTCATTCGCTATAATCTAGTGAATTAAGATGGATCAAAAGTGAAGTATAAAAGGAATAAAACATGAGAATCCAGACTGAATACTATAGAGCAAAGCTTACTTCTTCTTATCTATATTGGGTATATCACTTCTCTCTGCCTTCTCCACGATCACCTTAAAACCACACACATTCATAAACAATTCAGTTTGAAAACCAAGAAACAAATGAAGAATTGTTATGAGCATTCAATTTATGCAAAAATCATAGACATTAAGTTCATAGAATCAAATAAATAAATAAAGGTGCCCTTGATTGAAAATGTGTATCATGAAACATGGACAAAATCTTGCATTTGCACAACACTCAACACAGAAAGTGATTCCTATTATTCTAAAACCAAATAAAAGCACAGGGAGTGCCTGCAGAATATCTGGGTAAAACTATCATAAACTCTTATGAAGTAGACCCAAAGTAGGTGAACTTTCCTATAAGTTGCTTCTCAAGCTCAATAGTTCTAAATTTGGCAGCTTAAATGCTAGGAATGCCAGAGGCTCCAAACTCAACTTGCTGTCATTCATGGTTGAAATCAACCATAGATACAACACACTGACAAAAAAAGCCAACATCTAGAGATGACAAACTTGCTTCAAAACTTATTTACAATACAACTAAAACCATTTCAGACATAAGCTAATTTTAATAGGCTTGCTAAAGGCATATATATTACAAAGCAATTGGCTGCGCCAGACTAAAATCTCACCGGAATCCTATCAGGGTACTTCTCTCTAATCCTAGCAGCCTCTGCACGCCTCTTCTCTGGAAACAAAGGAAGCCAAATTCAATATGTTTGATCAAAATTTCCACAAATTAAACACACAGACAAACAGAAATTTAGAAAACAATTTACCCACAATAAACAATACTTACCAAGATCATGTTCTTGCTTGAAGTAACTCTTTGCCATACCTCCTGAAATTATCACTCGAAATTATCTAATTACCTTTAACAGTATTATTAAAGCCTCGACCAATTTTTCACCCTAAAACATAAACACAAGAATCTAAACAAAGAACAACAACGAACCACTTTTGATCATTCAATTAAACATAAACAACAACTAATTAAATAGTTCTCACCGTGAATTAACAAGAGAATAAGAGGACAAAAATTTAAACCAATCGATCAATAAAATTTATTAGAAAGCGGAAAACGAAGTTACAAACTACAAAGTAATCAGCACAATTAAAGAAATTGAAGACGCAAGTAAAAGAAATTAGAAGAAAAATATAATCGAAAGAGAAACCTTGTGAAGACGAAGCGAAAAGAAGAGAGAAAGGAGAGAGCTTTTTTGATCAAAACTCTTGAACCTCGTGGTTAGTTACGGATAAAATAAAATAAAGATGACTGACTTGGCTTCTTTCTGTGTTTAGGTATTTTACCCCCAATTCTATAATAATAATATATTAACATAGGATAAACTATAGATTGTAGGTCTTTTCAAAATTATCTGTCTACCTATTTCAATTCTTAATTGAAACATAAGTTAATGAAATAACAAATATTTTTAATTTGAAATATTCAAACTTTTCAAATAAAATTAAATAATCATAATTGTTAATCATCAAATTTATTATATATTATATTATAGAACAATATACAGCAAGTTTATGAATTATCAATATTTGCGTTTGGAAAGATTGGATTGGATCGGGGGATAGGATTAGATTGGGGTACAATAGTATTATTGTCTTGTGTTCGGAGAATTATAGGACCAAATAAGAATATTTATGTTAAAAATTAATTAAAAGTATTAAATATAATTTAATAATTATTTTTAAACTATTAAACTATAATATTTGGTTTCAAATATATATATATAATCTTGAGCCATAAGCTATATAATTATCATTTGGAAGCTTTAAATTTCCTTTATTTTGACATGATGGAATGTTGTTGGACACGTGACATCATACATTAGGACATTTAAAGGTCTAATAAAAAATTTTGCTATTTGAATGTCACATAGGATTCTATAATTGCTGCACTGTTATGGTTTATGCATATTGTCACCACAGTATTGTTCTTTTTGCTAATGCTAACAAAAATAGCATGCACAAAGCAACCGAGGAAATGGTAAACTTTGATATAATAGTTTGCAAAAGTTCTACTTAATTGTAAGTTTTTTATGATTGCATTGCACATATGTTCCTGACAAATTGTTTATGGGAATATGTTAATTAATTTCATCAATTTTACTTGACTATATTTGGTAAACACAATAGTTTGAGGATATAAGTTATAACTTAAAATATGGCTTGGGAAGAGGGAGCTTCTCTTCTCAGGTTCTGTCCACTATCCCAAGATGCCTCCTGAGGTACTTATCAATTGAGCTGCTTGCAGTTTTTGCATATATGTTTTAATTATGTTGATGGGGTTTCTTGATTTGTATTTAGACGTGGTGGGATATTATCAATAAAGCCAAAGATGGAGGATTGAATGTGATTCAGAGTTACGTCTTTTGGAGTCTTCATGAACAAATAAGGTGTAACTTATGATGGGAGATCATTGATCATTAATGGGAGGAGGGAGCTTCTCTTGTCAGGTTCTGTCCGCTATCCCAGGATGCCTCCAGGTACTTATCAATGTACATTACTAAATATATTTTGGCTTGAGCTGCTTGCAGTTTTTGCTTATATGTTTTAATTATGTTGATGGGGTTTCTTGATTTGTATTTAAATGTGGTGGCATATTATCAATAAAGCTAAAGATGGAGGATTGAATGTGATTCAGACTTACATCNATTAAAGCCTCGACCAATTTTTCACCCTAAAACATAAACACAAGAATCTAAACAAAGAACAACAACGAACCACTTTTGATCATTCAATTAAACATAAACAACAACTAATTAAATAGTTCTCACCGTGAATTAACAAGAGAATAAGAGGACAAAAATTTAAACCAATCGATCAATAAAATTTATTAGAAAGCGGAAAACGAAGTTACAAACTACAAAGTAATCAGCACAATTAAAGAAATTGAAGACGCAAGTAAAAGAAATTAGAAGAAAAATATAATCGAAAGAGAAACCTTGTGAAGACGAAGCGAAAAGAAGAGAGAAAGGAGAGAGCTTTTTTGATCAAAACTCTTGAACCTCGTGGTTAGTTACGGATAAAATAAAATAAAGATGACTGACTTGGCTTCTTTCTGTGTTTAGGTATTTTACCCCCAATTCTATAATAATAATATATTAACATAGGATAAACTATAGATTGTAGGTCTTTTCAAAATTATCTGTCTACCTATTTCAATTCTTAATTGAAACATAAGTTAATGAAATAACAAATATTTTTAATTTGAAATATTCAAACTTTTCAAATAAAATTAAATAATCATAATTGTTAATCATCAAATTTATTATATATTATATTATAGAACAATATACAGCAAGTTTATGAATTATCAATATTTGCGTTTGGAAAGATTGGATTGGATCGGGGGATAGGATTAGATTGGGGTACAATAGTATTATTGTCTTGTGTTCGGAGAATTATAGGACCAAATAAGAATATTTATGTTAAAAATTAATTAAAAGTATTAAATATAATTTAATAATTATTTTTAAACTATTAAACTATAATATTTGGTTTCAAATATATATATATAATCTTGAGCCATAAGCTATATAATTATCATTTGGAAGCTTTAAATTTCCTTTATTTTGACATGATGGAATGTTGTTGGACACGTGACATCATACATTAGGACATTTAAAGGTCTAATAAAAAATTTTGCTATTTGAATGTCACATAGGATTCTATAATTGCTGCACTGTTATGGTTTATGCATATTGTCACCACAGTATTGTTCTTTTTGCTAATGCTAACAAAAATAGCATGCACAAAGCAACCGAGGAAATGGTAAACTTTGATATAATAGTTTGCAAAAGTTCTACTTAATTGTAAGTTTTTTATGATTGCATTGCACATATGTTCCTGACAAATTGTTTATGGGAATATGTTAATTAATTTCATCAATTTTACTTGACTATATTTGGTAAACACAATAGTTTGAGGATATAAGTTATAACTTAAAATATGGCTTGGGAAGAGGGAGCTTCTCTTCTCAGGTTCTGTCCACTATCCCAAGATGCCTCCTGAGGTACTTATCAATTGAGCTGCTTGCAGTTTTTGCATATATGTTTTAATTATGTTGATGGGGTTTCTTGATTTGTATTTAGACGTGGTGGGATATTATCAATAAAGCCAAAGATGGAGGATTGAATGTGATTCAGAGTTACGTCTTTTGGAGTCTTCATGAACAAATAAGGTGTAACTTATGATGGGAGATCATTGATCATTAATGGGAGGAGGGAGCTTCTCTTGTCAGGTTCTGTCCGCTATCCCAGGATGCCTCCAGGTACTTATCAATGTACATTACTAAATATATTTTGGCTTGAGCTGCTTGCAGTTTTTGCTTATATGTTTTAATTATGTTGATGGGGTTTCTTGATTTGTATTTAAATGTGGTGGCATATTATCAATAAAGCTAAAGATGGAGGATTGAATGTGATTCAGACTTACATCTTTTTGAGTCTTCATGAACCAGTCTAGGGCCAGGTAACATGCAATAGTAGTATAGTATATAATTTTCTTTTTTCTTTTTTCATAGACTTTCTGGGATTTTGTATTGTAAGCCATTGGTTTTTTTTTCTTTTGAATTTGCAGTACAATTTTGAAGGGAATTGTAATCTTACCGAAGCCAAAAAGCCGTATGGTGCAGGACTATTGGAGGTGGACAGACTACAAAGATTAACAAATATCAAAACAAAGTGTTTTATTCAGGAAATAAATGAAACACTTCGTTGGATTTACTGATCTGAAAATTTCAGTACAATTGGTTATGAGCTTTGTTTCTTGCCAGGTTTATATATATTACTTCACTTTAATTGCTATTTGTTTGCAGAATTTTATGTTGAAGTTGAAGTTTTTTAATTTCTGAATTTGAATGAAAGCATTGAAAAGAGAATTAAGTTTAAAAAAAAAAAAAAAAGAGAATTAAATTTTAGAGGGTGGATTATATTCGTGTACGGATCTGTTCTCAGGTTGCTGTTTTTATGGAATATTATTTGACAACTAGCTGTAACTTTCAACTATTACAGGGAAGACCATGGACACCATGATCATGAATCCTATTATGGAGATAGAGACACAAATAGTCTGGTCAAGGCGAAGCATGCTTAAATTGGAAATCGTTACACACACACACACACATATACATATCTAAAGTATAAACTTCTGTTTGGCTATATGTTGATTTTGCCCCTTGCAGACGATGGAAGAGTTAGTTGCATCTATACCAAGGGAGGGGTCTCAGAAGCTAGCTTTGGAGGATAAAAGCAAAAATTCTGCAGAGAATGCCAAAAGACCAGCACCAAAGGCAGGAGGATGCAGGATCGAAGGATATGTGCGTGTAAAGAAGGTAAACATTTATACAAATGTGTATGGTTATAACCATAGGATAGTTGAGGAAAACTGAAATTAATTTTTTTCTGTGATGTCTATTATGAGTTTGACCTGTTTGACTTAAAAGGGAAATAGTAATACAGCTATATTAAAGTGGCATCTTTAAGTGTTTAAGCTATCTTCTACTGTGCAAGTTCCTGGTAACCTTATCATCTCGGCTCGCTCAGGAGCACATTCCATTGATACTTCTCAAAATGAACATGTCACGTGTCATAACCCATCTTTCATTTGGCCGGATACTTTCTCCTAAGGTCATGAGTGATGTTTGGCTGATTGAGTTACTGTAACAAAGTTTTTGAATTTTGAAATTGTTTATTATTAGAATTATTACATGTTGTTTTTGTTATGGACTTTGTAGCCAGTATGTGTTTGTGGTGTTGGATGATGAAGAATGACAAGTTTTTTTTTTTCTTTTATTTTTGCTCATTTCATGGTGTTGTACAACCTTTTAAAATGGTGGAAGATTAATTATTGGGTCTCAAAACAATGGTCATATTCCACGCAGCAACTACTAATTTTAAGATGGGCAAAATTGTTATTATGTCCCAAATTGTCCTAAGAAAATTGTTGCAACTCCTTTTCTTCTGCTTTGAAAAGAGAATATTTTCCTATCATTAAAATGTTTAATTATTATTTCGTTCTTTAATTAATTAATTTAATTTTTTGTGTCAAAACAACTTTTACAAACAACCCGTGCAACGTGCCGTCCTTTCAACTTGTGAGTATATATAAATGTGTAATAATGAAAAAAAATTAGTTTTATTAATTCTTTTATTCACCATATCAAAAAAACTTACAATAAAATATTGCTTTTTTAGATAAAATTTATATATAATTAAAATAAAATATTATTTATTAATTGAACGTTGCATTAAATACTACAACAAATATGTGATAATATATTATATCAATCAAAACTATTACCAAGACAATGTATACAATAAAATACAAATAGCAATAAATCAAAATATCCAAATTTGAACTCAAAATTAAATTCATAACCAAATAAACATGATTCAAAAAAGATAAATGAGTCAAAAACCAATTTCAATTTAACTAGTTATTATTATATTTTAAATATATAAACTGTATAAAATATATCATGTTATCATTTGATAAGATACTTATTAATAATATTTTTTTTTTATAAAATAATTAATAATCAATATAAATATATAATCTTGAGGCATAGGTTATATGATTGCCTGAAGAGGTAGAATTCCTTTATTTTGTCATGTAGGCAAATTGTTTGACACTTGATTGCATTTGATTGGTGTTTATTTGGATTTTTGACATTTGGTTAGGTGTTATTGGTCATGATGTGACATANCTCAGGTTGCTGTTTTTATGGAATATTATTTGACAACTAGCTGTAACTTTCAACATCATGAATCCCATTATGGAGATAGAGACACAAATAGCCTGGTCAAGGTGAAGCATGCTTAAATTGGAAATCGTTACACACACACACACATATATACATATCTAAAGTAAAAACTTCTGTTTGGCTATATGTTGATTTTGCCCCTTGCAGACGATGGAAGAGTTAGTTGCATTTATACCAAGGGAGGGGTCGCAGAAGCTAGCTTTGGAGGATAAAAGCAAAAATTCTGCAGAGAATGCCAAAAGACCAGCACCAAAGGCAGGAGGATGCAGGATCGAAGGATATGTGCGTGTAAAGAAGGTAAACAATTATACAAATGTGTATGGTTATAACCATAGGATAGTTGAGGAAAACTGAAATTAATTTTTTTCAGTGATGTCTATTATGAGTTTGACCTGTCTTGACTTAAAAAGGGAAATAGTAATGCAGCTATATTAAAGTGGCATCTTTTTAAGCTATCTTCTACTGTGCAAGTTCCTGGTAACCTTATCATCTCGGCTCGCTCAGGGGCACATTCCTTTGATACTTGTCACATGAACATGTCACATGTCATAACCCATCTTTCATTTGGCCGGATACTTTCTCCTAAGGTCATGAGTGATGTTTGGCTGATTGAGTTATTGTAACAAAGTTTTTGACTGTTGAAACTGTTTATTATTAGAATTATTACATGTTTTTGTTGGGGACTTTATAGGCCGTATGTGTTTGTGGTGTTGAATGATGAAGAATGACAAGTCTTTTTTTTTCTTTTATTTTTGCTCATTTCATGGTGTTGTGCAACCTTTTTAAATGCTAGAGGATTAATTATTGGACCTCAAAGCAATGATCATATTCCATACAGTAACTACTAATTTTAAGATGGACAAAATTGTCATCTCTATTCTATTATTATGTCCCAAATTGTCTTAAGAAAATTGTTGCAACTCTTCTTCTACTTTGAAAAGGGAATATTTTCCAATCATTAAAATGTTTAATTGTTATTTCGTTCTTTAATTAATTAATTAATTTTTTTTTTTTTTTTTGTGTCAAAACAACTTTCATAAGCAACCCGGCAACGTGCGAGTCCTTTCAACTTGTGAGTATATATAAATGTGTAATAATGAAAAAAAAATTACTATTGTTAATTCTTTTATTCACTATATCAAAAAAACTTACAATAAAATATTGCTTTTTTACATAAAATTTATATATAATTAAAATAAAATATTATTTATTAATTGAACATTGCATTAAATACTACAACAAATATGTGATAATATATTATATCAATCAAAACTATTACCAAGACAATGTATACAATAAAATACAAATAGTAATAAATCAAAATATCGAAATTTGAAAAAAAAAACGAATGTCAAAATCAAATTCATAACCATATAAACATGAGTAAAAAAAGATAAACAAGTCAAAAACCAATTTCAATTTAACTAGTTATTATTATATTTTAAATATATAAACTGTACAAAATATATCATGTTATCATTTGATAAGATACTTAGTAATAATATTTTTTTTTTATAAAATAATTAATAATCAATATATATATATAATCTTGAGGCATAGGTTATATGATTGCCATTTTGAAGAGGTAGAATTCCTTCATTTTGTCATGTAAACAAATTGTTTGACACTTGACTGCATTTGATTGGTATTGATTTGGATTTTTGAAATTTGGTTAGGTGTTATTAGTCATGATGTGACATAGATTAATGAGTTGGATTTGATGGTATATGTAGCTTCTTATAATTGGTATTTGATATTGTTTGTTATTAATGACAGATATTAATAACCTTGTGAGTGTTTGTCTGAGCTTATGAAAATTAGCTTATAAGCGAAAATTAATTTATAAGCATTTGAAATTTTAAGTAATTACGTGTTTGGTTAAAGTACTTATAAGTGACTAATAAGTAATTAACGTGTTTGGTAAAATGTGACTTATAAGTACATTTTATTATAAAATTACTAAAAAAAGTACTACATTAAATAAGGGCATACTATGAAATTTTAAAATTAAATAAGGATAATGTGATAATATACTTGGTCAAACTAGCTTATAAGCAAAGTATTTATAACAAAAAAAAAAAAAAAAAAAGGTACCTCCCCCCAACTTATTTTTGTTACCTTATAAGCTCAAAAAAATTATAAATAAACAAGTCAGCTTAATTTTAGAGTTTATAAACAAGTTTGACCAGCTTATAAGCTTAGATAAATACCCCCTTGATTGTTGTTTGTTATAACTTATAAATATTATCATTTATATAGAGATAAATTTATGTGAATATAAAGGATCTTATACGTTCAGAATACTTTATGTGAATTTGAAAAGTTTGTGAATATGAATGGTTTACATGGCACCATGTAATTGGAGCACCTAAAGGTCTTGACATGTGCATCGTGTAATTGGGACATTCAAAGGTCTTGGCATGGTGAAATATTATTAATCTTGAGGCATAGACTATATGATGACCATTTTGAAGCTTTATGTTTCCTTTATTTTGACATGTAGGAATGTTGTTAGACACATGGCATCATGTAATTGGGTCATCCAAAAGTCTACACGTGACATCATGTAATTGGGGCATCAAAAAGTAATTCTTTTATTTTGACATGGTGAAATATTATTGGGGATGTAACATCACGTAATTGGTGCATCCAAAGTAGAATATTATTAGAAACATGAAATCATGTAATTAGGCATCTTCTAAAGCATAGGCTATTTGAACGCCCTATAGGATTTTAAAATTGATGCGAGGCAGCACGTGATTGGTTGTTGAATATATGACAGCATGTGATTGGTTGGTAGGTGAAATCTCTTCACATTCTCACTAATACAAACCGTCAAACCTTTCAACCGTTAATGTGAAATCTCTCACATTCTCATTAATAAGTGGCTCTTCACATTCTGACTAATACAAACCGTCAAACCCTTCAACTGTTAACGTGAAATCTTGTTACAAAACCAGTTCTCAGTGCTGCCGAGGTTTGCCTTTATCTTTCTTAACTGCATTTTTATTTTCTTCGCTTCTTTTGGGTTGATGCTCCAGTGTACAAATGCGTTGATCTCCTTGGATATGGGCTCATTGGTTGCTGGTGCCAAGTTTCGTGGAGATTTTGAGGAAAGGTTGAAAGCTGTGTTGAAGGAGGTTACTTCTTCAAATGGGCAGATTATCTTATTCATTGATGAGATCCATCAGGCAATGGAGACGCCACATCGGTCTCTGATCGGATAAATTCTCACAGGTTTGCCCACTCTAAGTCAGTTTCGCGGTCGCCGCTCTCTAATGGAATAGACCCGCCACAAAATCCGGAGGTATTAGTGCATGAATCTTGCTTTTCCTTATCGCATGTGACAGGTCATTATCAAATCTTGATTTTAATATTTTTTGTCTCTGTACATTTAGCATTTATACATGATATTTGATTGTTTACATATGTTTGTGGGGATTTCAAATTTCTTAATCGTATGGGTGTTTCTTGGGCTGCGTTCCTTGCTCTTCATGGGTTGTTTTTTTTCTACCTTATAATTTGTAGCACTGGAGTTGAAGAAGTTGGGACTATTGATGTTCGTGCAGCTAAGGATCTGCTTGACTTTGGCTATGGCTATCTTGATGCTAGGTACTCTTTGTCTCTGTTCCAACTTATCAATTTGAATAATTTTTTTCTTTCAGCTAGAACCCTGAAGAGTTATCTAAATTTAATTGGAAAGAATGAACATGTAACTGTGATTTTAAATTACACAGAGAGATAAAAATGCATGGGAGGAGACTGTAAATTGAAAACAGTCTTTTCTTCTTTATCATCCTTTTCATTTTTGCAAAATCTCAGGATAGGTGAATGTAATTATCCCTTGACCTGAGGTCTTAAAAGTTCAAATCCAAGAAGGTTTCAGATCCGTCTTTGATTCGTGTTAGAATTAAGAGAACCCCGTTGTGTTTTTGTGATTTTGACTGATTTTTGTTTCTGGATTTGTGTTTTTTGTGATTGTAGGTATTGAATATTAATTGGTTTCATAAGCAGACACACGGAAACGATGAGGTAATTTTTCAAATTTTCAAATTTTTATTATTGATTTTTTTTGTAATTTGTAGAAGCTGTTAGATTTATGGGGTTTTGATTCTGAATTATGTGTATGATTAAGTTATTAGTTTGATAGAGCTTTAATTGATGATAGAAATATTGATAATTGTACATCATTATTTTATCTAACTCTTTGGTTGGATCAAAATGTTAACAGCGCTAGAGAGGTGGTAGTCTCAGGTTCAATATCGTCCCTTCATTTGTCATACATATAAAACCAAGCTTTTCGTTTCATTTATCCAAAGTTTTTTAATATTCTTTTTTCTCTGATTGTGCAGGTCCAGTTTTACAACTTCTGTAACGATAGTTCCTGTTACAATAGATTTATTTTGTATTTTTTTGGGGTAAGTACAATGGGTTTATTTGTTTCTTATTGTTATTTTATTTATATTTTTACTTATGAGTTAGCTGTATTCGTCCACTTTAACAGGGGTTTGTGTTTTTGTGAATGGAGATATAACCAAATGTTGCTATCATATGCATGATGGAAGTATCGATGTTTTGGGGTTAGATTGAGGCAATCTAAGTATTTTGATGATTTGAATGTACGCTTTGTTTTTACCTGAAAGAGAGAAGTTTGACCGTCTCTGGCATGGGGTTTGTTAATGCTTCAGATTCATTGATGTGGCTTAGGAGATATGAGCTAAAATAAGTATATTTTTTGGTTTCAGATGTCTTTCTTACGCTGAGATTTGGGTGGCATTATTTAGAAAGATTTATGCCTATGAATTTTCTAATGTGCCATTTTGTACAGGGTGGTGTTGATGAGGGGGAGGATCTGAGAAATGCAGCCACAAGAGAATTGAGAGAAGAATCAGGTGTTACCTCGACAGAATTTCTTGCAGAGGTCTGCTTGGATAATCCTTTTTATATTTGAATATTTCACCTATATTCTTGGAGTCTGGTACTATGCCTGAAAGGATGAAATGACACCTTCCTGCAACATGTCTTGATTGAACTGATATTTCCATTGTTATGTAGGCACCTTATTGGCTGACTTATGATTTTCCACTTAAAGTCAAAGATAGACTTAATCGTCACTGGAGAACAAATTATAAAGGTCAAGCACATAAGTGGTAAGGTTACCATCTACCTAGAAATGGTCAATGCATTATATATTGTAGTTTTGCTGTTGATAGACAAGTAGGAAGACTTAGAAAATTATATTGTGGAAATAAAATACAACCCGTAGCTTCTAATAGTAAGATCATCTGTGCGTATTTCCATTTTAAGGTTTGTGAAGTAGTTATTATTGAAAATTTTTTTGTTTGGACCATTCACCGTATGGGTATTACCTCTAACTTTTATGCTTTTTGTTCTTTTATTGGACAGTGGCTATTCATGTACATAAACACATTGAGGCATGGCTTTGTTGGTTTTCTTTTTTAAGGCTTTTGTCTGCCTGAGAACCAAAAAAAAACCAAACGCGAAGGCAAAAAGAAAGAGAGAGAGAGAGAGGGAGAGAGACAGTTTCAGTTTGTTTAATCACACACTCATTGACAGCTCTTTTCATTAATTTTATCTTTATCTTCTTCTTCTTCTATTTTTTATGTTTATTTCTTGGTTTTCGATTTTATCATCAGAAGCGCCCCTGTTATTTACAGTTTTGATTTGATTAATCTACAGATCGAACGGTTTCAATTCCACATGGATTGATCTTTCATTTAGATCTTCGTCGTTATCATCCGTTTTGATTCAGTAGCTGAACAGAGAGATTGCACAGATAGCCGAATTTGTGTTGTAAGTTTTTTCACTTTTCATGTTTTGGTTTTTATTGCCGTTTTATTGGTTCTGTGATTGATTTTTTTTAAAAATTAATTTACGCATGTATGGATAGTGAATTTTAGTGTAGGATTAACAGTGGAATGTAGAGATAGATTTGACTCTCTGTTTTTGCCAAAACTGTGTTGGTTGGTTCTGTCGTTTGGTTAACTTTAGAGTTTCAAAGTCAGAGCTTGCATAAGGGAGTTGTGTCTTTTTTCTGTTTTAAGTACAACTGGGCAAACACCATCAACATTTACCGATGCTAACAGGTAAGCGTACTTCTCAATAATTCAAAAACACTCAGCATATTTAGAAGTTTTAATCTGTTTACTGTGTGAAATTGATAAATTTTATGTCCACGGTAGTCGGTAGTTAAAGATGATGCCAATCAATTTTGAAATGACAATGTGAACATTTAATGATTACTTTTTGTTTTAATCTTTGAAGTATGATGAATGCAAGCTGAACGTTGTTTTCGGTTTCAGGGTAAGCATCTGAGAACAAGTTATGGCAGCCTGAGAGTTGGCTATAAATGAATTGAGCTGATGGAATCTATGCTTCCTTCTTTCATTTGTATATTTATATACATATAATTTCTTGATGGGTAGTCGGTAGGATAGATTTATACAAGTTATTAAAATTTCGATCTCTTATTGCTGCTCGCTNGTTTCCTGTCCTTGTTATTTTATCTTCATTCCACCACCACGGCCGTGGTAAACCACCAAGGCAAGGCCATGACCTTCAAACTTGTCAGCTAATCTCAATTTCTTCAAGCTTTGAATTCCAATGCTCCAATCTACTCAATTAACGCCTGAAAATTACAAAAATTCTTCAAATCAATAGCTGACCATTCATATTTCAAACTTAACAAAAACTAACATCAAAACACAGAAAACAAATGATAAATTAATTAGAAGGCTATAAAAACAAACCTAAAAACACTAAATTTATGCAACTTATCATACTATGTCTGAAAGGATGAAATGACACCTTCCTGCAACATGTCTTGACTGAACTAATATTTCCATTGTTATGTAGACACCTTATTGGCTGACTTATGATTTTCCACTTTAGTCAAAGATAGACTTAATCGTCACTGGAGAACAAATTATAAAGGTCAAGCACATAAGTGGTACGGTTACCATCTACCTAGAAATGCTCAATGCATTATATATTGTAGTTTTGCTGTTGATAGACAAGTAGGAAGAGTTAGAAAATTATATGGTGGAAATAAAATACAACCTGTAGCTTCTAATAATAAGATCATCTGTGCGTATTTCCATTTTAAGGTTTGTGAAGTAGTTATTATTGAAAAATTTTTGTTTGGACCATTCACCGTATGGGTATTACCTTAACTTTTATGCTTTTTGTTCTTTTATTGGACAGTGGCTATTCATGTACATAAACACATTGAGGCATGGCTTTGTTGGTTTTCTTTTTTAAGGCTTTTGTCTGCCTGATAAAAAAAAAAAAAAAAACCAATGCCGAAGGCAAAAAGAAAGAGAGAAAGAAAGAGAGACAGAGAGGGAGAGAGAAACGGTTTCAGTTTGTTTAATCACACACTCATTGACAGCTCTTTTCATTAATTTTATCTTTATCTTCTTCTTCTATCTGTTCTTTTTATTTCTTGGTTTTCGATTTTATCATCAGAAGCGCCCCTGTTATTTACAGTTTTGATTTGATTAATCTATAGATTGAACGGTTTCAATTCCACATGTATTGATCTTTTGTTTAGATCTTCGTCGTTATCATCCGTTTTGATTCAGTAGCTGAACAGAGCGATTGCACAGATAGCCGAATTTGTGTTGTAAGTTTTTTCACTTTTCATGTTTTGGTTTTTATTGCCGTTTTATTGGTTCTGTGATTGAATTTTTTTTTTAAAATTAATTTACGCATGTATGGATAGTGAATTTTAGTGTAGGATTAACAGTGGAATGTAGAGATAGATTTGACTCTTTCTGTTTTTGCCAAAACTGTGTTGGTTGGTTTTGTCGTTTTGTTAGCTTTAGAGTTTCAAAGTCAGAGCTTGCATAAGGGACTTGTGTCTTTTTTTCTGTTTTAAGTACAACTGGGCAAACACCATCAACATGTACCGATGCTAACAGGTAAGCGTACTTCTCAATAATTCAAAAACAGTCAGCATATTTAGAAGTTTTAATCTGTTTACTGTGTGAAATTGATAAATTTTATGTCCACGGTAGTTAAAGATGATGCCAATCAATTTTGAAATGACAATGTGAACATTTAATGATTACTTTTTGTTTTAATCTTTGAAGTATGATGAATGCAAGCTGAACGTTGTTTTCGGTTTCAGGGTAAGCATCTGAGAACAAGTTATGGCAGCCTGAGAGTTGGCTATAAATGAATTGAGCTGATGGAATCTATGCTTCCTTCTTTCATTTGTATATTTATATACATATAATTTCTTGATGGGTAGTCGGTAGGATAGATTTATACAAGTTATTAAAATTTCGATCTCTTATTGCTGCTCACTTAGTTTTTTAAATGTACAGTAACAGCAACATTTAGATTTATACAAGTTATTGAAATTCTGATCTCTTATTGCTGCTCAGTTAGTTTGTTAAATGTACAGTAACAGCAACATTTATTCAAGTCTGTCGTAATAAATTTTGTAACCCATTGGTTTATATATAAGTTGTTTTCTCTGATCAATGATTTTCTGCTAAAATGGATGTTGGAGCTGTTATTTCTGACCCAAGATGTCAAAATTTGTACAATAATGAAAGACATCCACTGCATGAGAAATTTCTAATTTATTATTTTAGAATACTATTTATATTGTATAATTTTTAAATTATGTTAGTATATTTTAATTTTTAACTAATATAATTAAGAGATTTAATAGATCATTTTTGACCTATATAATATATGTACATCTAAAATAGATATCAATCCATTGAAACATTCAATTATTCAAACAGATACAGTGTTAAAACCAATTTCATAAGTAACCAGCGCAAGCGTGGGCGGGTTTTAATCTAGTAGATTATAAATAAATGAGTGATACTATTGGCTTCTCAGTTCTCATATTTTATCTTTTTTGTCTTAGTAAACTCCTGTTTCTTTTTTTATTTAATTATAATATTATCCTTAAGAAAAAATTACTAAAGAGGGTATAAATTATTTTTCATTAATTTTCCACAGTTAACCCTTTATTATTAATCTAATAAATTTTCTTTTGGCTTCGAATCATAAACCGTAACCCAAATTTTATATTCCCATTAATCTACACATCTTTGGTTTTTTTTTTACCGGATTTTCTTCAATCCTCTATTGATCTACACATCTTCAAAAAAATAAAAAATAAAAAATTAATTGGCTTGATATCAATAGCCTACTATTCTTATTGAGTACCTAAAATTTCAAGTTTTATTTAAGTTTTTTGTATCGATAATTTTAATAACATATCCCTTAAAAGGAAGAAGTTTAAGTCCTATAATATTTTCAAATTAGAACAAGAACTGTCTTCAAAAGAAGAGGAAATTATTAGAGAGAAACTTGTAGTTTTAAAAAAGGAAAACATAAGATTATCAACAACTTACAATTACCTAAATTTTATGTCCAAGTAAAATGTTAATACAGATGAAGAATATATTATTGAGAAGATATAAGATATGGAGCGGAAATATAAATATAACGGTAATTTTGGACATAGGTGGGGTTCCATCTATTAGATATTTATGTATATTTAAAAATTTTGGTGGGATAAATTTAGAAATAAGGTCTAGTAAAATAAAAAATGGGGGGCCAATAGCAGTATAGCACCACTCTAAATAAATTTAATAAGTATAATTTTTAATATATTGAAAAACAAAAATGTTAATCCCCTAGTATAAATCCCATGACTCCCTGATGTTGGAAAAGTTTTCCTATTTTTCAAGTTAATTCTATTTTAATTAGGAGTCTAAGTTGTTTACCAAATTTTAATTAACAATCTAGTTATTTTAGGAATTAGTTAAATTTCCCCTATTTTATAGTCCTTGTTTTAGTAGTATTAGATTTCTTATTTTATTCTAATTACTTGTTCCAGTAGAATTACAATTAGCCTACTATAAATTGGCTTGCTATGTTTCAAGTTATTCATTGTTTTAATCAATAAAATTTATAAAATTTTCCTTTGGAACCTTTTGTTGTGGATTCAGGAAGCCTCCATGGATTCAAACTGCTTCGCTTGAGCATATCTAGTGCCTATCCCCATTCTGCTGCGTTATTTGGTATCACACCCTTACTTTGTACTAGTTCACAACTTTCCTATCCTAAAAACATTCCACTAATCCCATATATATACCTCAAACCATTGTTTTAAAAACCAACCCGTTGTGAGACTTGGTAAGGTCATCAGGTCACGGGTCGACCAATCTAACCGGTTAGACCGGTGACGTCAACAACAATTTTGTTTTTAAAAAATTATAAAATAGTCCCTTAAATTTTAGTATATTAAAAATGTCCCTAACAATTTCAAATTAGTCCCTAGAATTTATATTTACTACCAAAATGCCCAAAAAATTACTAATTAATCCCTAAAGTTTTAACATATTTCAAAAACATCCATAGAAAATTACAATTAGTCCCTATACATTTGAAATATAACAAAACCCCCCTAAAACCGGACCGGAGAGGCTGCTGGTTCTCGGTTGAACCGGTCCGAGTTTTAGAACAATGCCTCAAACACATTCCACCAAACATCATCCACGCCTCCTTACGAAAAAAAAAAAAAAATCCAAAAAGAAAAGAAAAAACTCAAAATACCCTAGGCAACCTTGCTAGCCAACCCAAGAAATTACTCTTCACACCTTGTTTAGCCAAATTTCAATTAATTCCAATTTAGTTAGTTTTTTCTTTGTTTGGTTCGTCAGTTTTGTCAAATTGACTAAGTCTATCACAATTTTATTTCTTCTCAGTTTAGTCTTTCTGTTTGTGCTTTAAAAAAAAAAAAAAAAAAAAAAAGTAGAGACTAAGAAAATTCAAAAACCTTTCAATATGTCAGATGATTTACGCCAATAAAAAAATAAAATTCCTACACTAAAGGAAATTATATACATCAAGTTAGAATAGGTTTCACCCTTATGGAATTTCTAAGGGATTCAAACCTATCATTTCCTAAGTGTTTAGTCATAATATAAACTAAATAATATTATGTGTTAACATATTCAAGTGATATAATCTTATCCTCCACTAAATTCCGAATATGATGATATTTAATATTAATATGTTTTGTTCGATGTTGTGTGTGATTTTTCCACAAAGCTCGAAGAATTGTGAGGTTATAGCCCGATCCAGAACCAGCTCAATTCTAACGATTGTCTGACCCAGCATAAGCTGGTCGAGTTATAGCTTGACCTAGCACAAGCTAGTTGCGACCAATCCTTACAGTTGTTCAACCAATTCACAGATAACTTCAGATCCCGAATATCTCGAGAAGGATCAGATCGACAACAATCTTTGTGCAATTACCATGCCCAATTGCGAGAATATTAGAGTTGCATTTCAAACATAATTGTAATCCCTTTATTTTCGCTCTTTCCTTTGTATACAATCTGTATATGAACCCCCTCTAACGATGAGAAAGGGGTTAGCAAATTATTCTAGGACTTTCATTGTAAGCTCTCACAGCAAATGCAAAAACAGTAGACTTAGG